TTCTAAGAAACCCTAAATCATATTTATTTCCAAGGGTTTAAAACAACTAGGGTTTAAAACATAAATAGAACAAACTTAACAAATTTTCAGGGAGCAACAAATATCTATTTTATATGTTTACAGGATGCTTCGCATAAGAACCGACACAGAAGAGGGGCATGTAGTGGAACCCAAAATAAGCAATTTACCTTTATACTAAGCTGCATCTCACAGAAGTTATAGGCCTTAAACGTGGAGTTTCAAATTTCGAAAAAAAAATTAATTGGTATCTCAGTTGTACTTGAACTTAGAAAAACCAAATTTGGTACACGGTGTCAGTGTACCAAGAGCATAATAATCCATAATCGACAGTAAGTAGAGTTCAGTTGAAGCATTTTAAAGGGTTGATAAGGGATGATGCATCATTAAAATGTGACAGAATGCACATTCATTAGAATCAGCAGTTATTGGATAGAGTATACTTCAATTTTCGACGAGGAATAAATTTATACGTGTATGTTATTTCTGTTGTTTAAGTTGTTTGTTTTTCTATTCAATTATTCTTATTCCAACTTTTATTTCCTGATCGTCAAGTTTGACGTTTAAATTCATAGCCAACTTTTGAATTTTCGATTAATTTAAATAACAACTACAATACCTACGTTTTATATTAGTTATTCATGTTTTTTTAAAAAAAACTAAGAAGAGTAAAGTTTTAGAATGAAATTCCCCCTAAAATAAAGTAATAATTTTTTAAGTTCGCCAATGAGTTAAAAAATGTTAACTCCACTTACTGTCGATTATAGATTATTATGCTCTTGGTACACTGACACCGTGTACCAAATTTGATTTTTCTAAATTCAAGTATAAGTGATATATTGATTTATTTTTTTCGAAATTTGAAACCCTACCGTGTACCAAATTTGATTTTTCTAAATTCAAGTATAAGTGACATATTGATTTATTTTTTTCAAAATTTGAAACCCCACTTTCAAGGCCTCAGGAGTGTGTAAAAGTAAGTTGCATTAGATCACCATATTTTGGGTTCCCTTACATGTCCTTGCTCTATGTCGGTTCTTATGCGAAACACCCTGTATAATAATAGCTTTGTAACATTAGAACCAGAAAGTGCATTTTTAAGAGCCCGGAAAGTGCAGTATCTAGCGAACTTTGGTTTAAGGCTAACGGTGGAACACGTACACGTGTCCTAGATCGATTAAAACTACATAGAATTCTGACAAGAGTAAAGACTATGTTGACGTGTTGCAACAATACACCGGGAAATGAAGCGTCCAGTTGTTCGCTATCAGGTAATTTATTCGAGATGGAGACAATATAATAATCTTATATCACTTTCACTTTTGGTACATATTACCGGTATTGGATAGTAATGGCGTAATACTATCATTTTGTTCAGTACATTCCCATCTAATAAGTAAAAGTATTCACACTTAAAAAAATGTAAATAATATTAAAAATGGTATTGATAATTGTTAGCTACTAGTTACATTTACTAATAATAATTTAAATGTATATAAAGAAGCAAGAAAAGAAACACCATTGAGCAGGCTAACATGACGGTACATGGTTGGTCGAAAATATCCTATAAGTACGACTATAATGCACTTTCTGCTGCAAACGCAAATATTGGTCAAAATAATATAAAGATTTTGTACCTGGGAGAAAAATTAATTTTGCACATGAAACACATAACGAACCAAGAAACCATACGTGTTTTAGAAATTTTTTAGAATATTAGAGTTAGACAGGTCCCTCAACGGAAATGGAAACTGCAATTCTAGTGGAAGGAAGAAAGTGAGAAGGAAACGGAATTGAGATATACAAGATTTCTGACGGATGGAGGCAGTAATTGCCATAAAAAAAGTTTTAGAGGCTCGATCATAAAGAAAGCCAGTAGAAAAGAAGAAGTAGACAGTGACATCGTAGAGCAGTTTAAAAGTATTAGTTATAAATTTGTAGAGGGCAAAACTCAAGTAAAAGATATTATTCTCAAAAAGACAATACCAGGGCAGATGTTTTGCAACAGTTTTGAAACACAGTTCTGGTAAGTCGTGTTACTACAATATGTAAATTTTACTCTGGAATAATTAAAAAAAATCGAGCAGATATGAACCCATTATTGTAAAACGCAAAACGTGAATTAAATATTTTTTGTTGTACTAAATATGTGAAAAACCTGATAGAGTAATGAGGATTTTGATCTGCAAAAATAGCATTTTTACAATCTCTTATTAAGACAGATCTAGAGATCAACGCATTTAAAGAGAGAACTAGAGAGCAAAGCAATAGTTTTGAAGCAATCTGTCGGAGCATTATAATATTATAATAAGTAATCAATCACTAACAGTGTGAGAAAATTCGCAAGTAATGTGACGAGTTCTATTCGTAAAAAGTACCGCGTGTGGCAGCACCTCGCTATGCTATTATATTATATTTTTCAGTTTTCTCTCTATAACTGTTCTTGGGAACATGATAAAAATGTGCCTTTTTTATAAATTACAAATATTAATAATTAATAACATACGATTATTTTTCAAAACAATAACTATAAGTGAAATACCTATTTCAATGGAATAATTTTGTGGTCATCTATTATAACGCATAGCAGAATTAATATTTGAAAACTACTTGTATTACGATTAAGAAAATCTTTATACGTTGTAAAGCTAATAAAATTATAAACTATTTTCCATATACTGATAATGTCCCGGGACTCATGGTAACAAATAAAGTGCTAAATTCTTTGTCCTGTAAATGTGTGTCCCAAAAAGCATACACCTTCAAGCCATATAAAATTCCAAAAAAAGCGATTCTTTTTTGTTTTTGAGTATGCTACTCATTTCTCAGTCACAAAAGAGATGTTTTTGCGCCTTTTCAACTATCTCCGACTTAAAAAGAGAAATAAAACAAAACATAGCAAGAATAGTTTTTTTCATAAATACATATATTTTATTATTAGCTCTTCCATGTTTTTACTCTTTAAAAACAAATAGAGCATACTTAAAAACATAAAACAACAACAGGTTCCAATTTGACATGGCTAACGAATAATAAAAAAACACTTTTTTGAAAACTTTAAACGGGTGTTCTTAGGGCACATATTCATAGGAGAAAAATTCACATATTTACTTTTACAATCCACCATTTCAGTTGTTACCATCAGTCCTGGGACATTATCCTGCGTTAACTTAAAATTTCAAACTTACCAAATTATTTTGTTGATTTTGTTATTTTTTTATTTAGTCAAAAGGTTAGGTTAAAAATATTTTTAAATTCTCAGAACATACTTTAGTATTTGAGACTTTTTTCAATACTATTATAGTAATTATGAGCTATTTCCTTCCTCGGCGGTCGCCCATTTCTTAGGAAAAATGCGGTTATAACTACACGCAAAATGGAGGTACCTAACATAAGAAACTATGTAATAAGACACCATTACCGACTGTAGTTTACCAACAATAAAAAATGGATACAGGATTGACGTTGGTACCGCAGAGGTGCTGATGAATGTGTAGCATTTCATAAAAAAAAAAAAATTATCTATCTTAGAAAAGCAAACCATCGCCGCAATGGCACCGTTCCGTACTTTTGTAACACACGATATCCCTAGAGTTGCGGCAATGTTGAGTCAGGAAAAGGATTGAGGTAGGCCAGACGTCGGGGAGTCGAAACAAGTCTACCGTTGGAAACCGTCGCAATCGGTTTAATTAGTGTTACATATAGATCCTTAAATTTCTTAGTTTTTTTTTGCTTTTGCTCTTCGGAACAAGATATATTTAAATAGTGTGATGTAAGAATAAAATTCAATCAGACACGAGTCACAAAATAACTATTTGTTTCAATTCAAAGATCAAGGAAGATAATTTAAGATAACTAAGGAAAGAAATCAAAGTTTAAACTGTAAATCGCCAGGGGTTGCTACACTTCCACCCAATTTCTAGACTCTGCATCTGTAGAATTTCTCTTCCTTGTAGCAGGCATATTTTCGGATTAAACGCTCTGTGGACAGTTCGATATATTTTTATTAGAGCTTGATTCCAACTTTTTTCATGGCTACGACTTTACCCTCAGAAGAATGGCCTTTTTCCTGTCAAAACATCAGCCAGAGTAATGGTAGACTACCTCTACCAGAGAATATTATTTTTTCTAGCACTGCTCAAAGTATCAACAAACCATGGGCATAGATAAGATTTTTGCTTAAGGTGGGCATTGATAGGCCAGCTGGTTAGACAGCTGGTCCAACCAAAAAGATATTATTGTGTCGTTTTTTATTCTGAGGAGTGGCACGGCCCTCCATAGAGAGCTCGGTGCCCACCCCTGCCCCCCTAGCTACGTGTCTCTGCTTAAAGTACGAACGCATCAATATTAATATCATTGTAATCGCAAATNTTGTTTATAATAGAATGTTTGACTATAGTTACAATTACTTTTAATTAAAAATTTTAACAATGTTCTTGTATACTTCGTTTTTGATGGTTTTTATAGGATAATCTCACGTTTGTAAGTATATAATAAGCTTTTATAACTTATTATTCTAAGCATTTTTGTTATTTCTTATAGATGTCTTGAGAAAGGAAATAAACATTTCCGAAAGCTTGACAACAACACAGAGTGTTCTTATTACATTAGCCCTTAGCACTATTGACTGCAATCCCAAATACATCACTGGTTTTTTTATATATATATATATATAATTGTTTACTCAGGCATTAATTATCTATAGGTTTGATCTATCATTTTAGGTATCATTTTAGGAAAGACTTCTTATACCTATTATATGCTTAATCCCTTAATCCTCAAAAATTGTTCTAACAAAAATTTTGCCTATGCCTTTGCCTATGTAAATAATAAATATATTTTTTTAACACTTTGATATATTATTTGATTTCTTTTTATATCACTCTGTACGTGTACGTGTAGGTTACTATACATTTACATACACAAATTGTATATTAACTTTATTACAAATACACTAACTCGATAAATAAATAAAAACTCACCTATCACCGTTTGTGCAGCTACGAGTGTGAAAAGCGTTAATGATAAGGAAATATACAAAATCTTCTTCATTGTTTCCATCTCCTAGAAATAAAAGTAATTCGGTTATAAATATTTCAATTAATCTGAATACAATAAGTTACTATTTTTCATCTTCTTATTTTCAAATTATAAACACAAATTATGCTTTTAAAGAAAGTTACATTTCAACTGTTATTTCATTCTATCTGTTTCAAATGATTCACACACTTGTTTGTTAGATGTGCTTGACTCGGAAAAGAACGGTGCCAGCGGTGTGAAGAGCCTGCAGTCCTCTCGTTCTTCTTTTCTATGTTCAAAAATATAATTTCCTTTTTAATTGAATTGAGATAGACCTCAGAGAGATATTGTTAATGACTTCTTGATGTATAAGTTTCGGAAGTTATCCTTTTCTGAGTACAATGGTAATTAAAAAATTAGCACCACTTTGGTGGTACTTATTCCTATTAGGAGTGCTAGCTCGAAACATTTTAAAAAACTATCCGGTAGATCCAGGATCTAGTCCTAGCGTATACAGAGTGTATCATAATTAATAGCGCAAATTGAAACAGTTGGTAAGTACACAAACACTTGAAGCAAAAAGTCTTAGTAAACATGGGTCCGCAAATGAGCCGTTTGCGAGATACCACTGACTTGATCGTAAACATCATCCTAGTTAGTACCAATACAACATTAAGAAAAATTATTATACACTTTGATAGAAGTGCAATTGTTTTTAATGAAAAAGAAAACAGTTTTACTTAGTATGTTACAATTACATATTACAATGTCTGTACAGTGTACTAACTCATAGGTCAAAGTGTCACCATTGTATAGCTGGATGCAGGCCTGCACTCTTCGACGCATTGAGTTTCAAATTCTTTTTGAAATCTTGACAAGCATTTACAAGTCTGCTGCAACCGGAGTGTCGTATACTACACTTTTATGGTGACAAACACAAAAATTCAAAGGGGTTTAGATCAGGTGATTTTGGAGGTCACGGTATAGGTCTTCCTCGCCCAATCCATCTTTGGACATATCGGTGCGTTAGATGTCCTCTCACAATAACAGTAAAATGTGCAGGTGCTCCATCATGCGTGTACCACATCCTCTAGCGCCGCTCAAAGGGAACATCCTCAAGCAATCCTGGAAGATGAAGCCGCAAAATCAGACACCGAAGGTAATTCCGTCCATTAAGATCAATTTTGTCCGTCCGTTCATTTGGTAAATGTACGGTCCAACAAAACGATCACCTAGTAGTACCCTACCATAAATGCATATCCTCGTACTCCTCCTTACTGTATGTTCCATTTTACCTACTGTACAATAACTGTTTTATTACAACTCCACGTCTCAAAAATGTTCAGTTGCGTAAACAATGACCACACCATGGACCGTTTCTTCAACCACAAGAAGTAGAGGCGACGAATACAGGCCTGCATCCGGGTACAAGCACGACACTGAACAATTAACTACGAATTACTATTATTGTAACATGTAACTGTAACATACTAAATATGACTGTTCTTATCTATTTAAAATAACTGCACATCTACCACAGTATCTAATAACTTTTCTTCATGTATTGTATTGGTACCCCACTCTGTTTGCTATGATTTTTTGTATACACGTCGTGCAGATTTAGTTTTTTCATGTATTAACGTATAAATTAAAATCCTTATGAAAAGTTGTGATTTCTGCTCCAAATAAATAAAAATTTTAATCAGTTTACTCCAAAATTGACAACTGCAGTTTTCTTCAGAAATGTATCGCTTTAATTAAGTAAGCATAAATATTTTTAGAATGTCATAGGTGGAGAAGTTACGTTTCACGAAAGCAGCAGGAACCATAACTATGGCACTGACAAGTGAAATTACTAACATTGTATTTGTATTAAATGAAGGCACTTACGTATAAAAGATTATGAAGCTATTTATTACACGTGTTTGAAATATTAAAAAAATAATAATAAAAAATATGAGGGGTCATTAATCGCAAAGGTTGTATTCCGAAACTAAGTTTTATATTCACTATATTTTTGCTTATTTTTACCTCACATCTGAGGTAAAAATAAGCAAGAGTATGTGCAAATCCCGTGGGTAAAAGGAATATTTGTTATGAAATATTTTATATGGCAATAGGTATACAAATTATTTTGATATTTTTCATCAATAATACGTACTATGAAATACTATGAAATTAAAATATGTTCTTTAAAAACAACTTTGAATATCCCTCAAAATGATACGATTTTTTTTATAACAATTCGACAAATTTATCTTTATAATATTCTGTGTTCATTTTATAATAGCTAATAAATTAATTAAACACAAATTGATTGAACAGTAGACAATTATGACAAGTGGTCCTTAAATACTTATTATAATATAATTAATTATAAACGGCGTTTAATTATTAATTTAATTCACTCAATTGCAACGTTTTTATGATTGCTCGAATCTTGTTTCGATGTGCGTCCAGGCCAAAATGTTTATGTAATAAACATAAACATTTTGGCTAAAACTACAAATAAAAAAGTCTTAAAGTCAAAAAAGGGATATAATAAAAAATAAATTAGAACTCCTTAATTATTAAAAGAGCCGCAATTCAATGGCTTGCCAAACGGGCCAATCGAGACATGCGTGAGTCGCTACAGAATGCTTTTCACGTTCACATCACGTTAGTATACTGTTGTTTGTTATCGTGCGGATGTTGCGTAATTTATTCCTATACGTTGGTGTTTATGGTGTTGTATTGTAGACAATTTAATTTGTTGTTTTTCAATAAATAATGCGTACGCCTCTTCTAAAACCCCTATTAATTAGCATTTGGCTTTCGAAAAAATACTATACGAATTATTTTTAAGAATTGTATTTTCCCTTAAATTTTCTGTTCAAAATTTCAGGACACCTTGTATATTCCCAATATGTGTTTTCTTGTGTGTAACACATTGCGCAAACAAAATGTTAATTTCATAAACATACAAGATGCAGATAGTTATTTGATTATAAAATATAAATAATTTATTCAAAGAATGCTGTCCGTAGGACGATATAAAATAATATACTAGTATTTCAATACATTTTCTAAAAAGAATACTGAGAGATATGATTTAAACTTTTTATTTGCAGGGTTTACAAATTTTTATTATTGTTGAGAATTAAATTCCTTAATTTAATTGCAGCAAACTATGCTGGAACGATATTATCAACAACCCATTTACTGAATATTAAATAAAAAGAAGTAAAATATTCCAACAGACAAACTGGGTTTCCCATTACTTCATTTAATAAAATTCTGAAACATAAATTTTAACCAACAGAAGCGATTTTAGGAAAAAAAATACAAAAACAATAGTTTTATTTATTTTTATTTAATGTACATTCCGTCCATGATATGGAGGAATCTTCAAAAATGTGAGTTCTTAAAAAAATGTTTAGAAAAATATATAGGTAATCAAATATTTTACTAGATAATAAATGTTATTGTGTGGAAAGTGACAGTACCATAAAACATTAAATGAGTGCATTAAATAGAACTTACTTTTCCTTTTGCAAACATACCGAAAACAGCTGGATACTTTAAAGATGATTTCTCAAAAAGAAATATGAATTATAATGTACTTATAACTGGCAAAAAGAAAATTTGTTTTAACAAGTTCCTACTTGTTTACGTACAGCTAGTACGGCCTCACAGACAGCGGTTGAAACTTTTTAAGCGACTAAGTATAACGTTTAATTGAAGCTTTTCTTACGATGTACCCAGTTTTTTTTTACTCAAGACCCAGTTCCGATACCGAAATTAAATTTAATAAGAAATAGATATCTACTCTGTGTCAAATTAAAACAATAGTTTTCTTAAAAAAAAAGGCGATTAATGTGACGTCACAGTCATTTAAAGGTAATCAGGTTTTGGTTGGAAATTATTCTAATGAAGAAAAGACTCTGTACCTGGTAGTTTCCATATGGATTTAACGAGCAAAAAAAATCGACCTCATTGATTTTTTTTAAACTTTGGATGTTAATCTACTTTGAATTTTATGAGACCCTTGGTTTTTTGTTCTTCGAAAAAAATTTTTGGAGCCATATCCAAATTTACATCGTTTAAGCGTTATTCCGAAAATATACATTCATATTTTTTTCAAGTGGCCGTCATTTTGACCCAAATCATGATATCAAAACATTTTTTTTTTCAAAATGTGCAGAATGTCATCAGCTTTTATCTGTTTTCTCAGAATTCAAATTGCTTTATAACTTAAGTACTATGGATTTGATTCTTATTTACATAAAAGATCTCAACAGGTATGTGTTACTAACATTTTATCTAATAGTTTAGAAATACTTTCTGGTGTACCCCAGGGGTCAATTTTGGGTCCCTTACTTTTTATAAATTACACTGCTTCCATTTTAGAATCAATTCAATAATGTACTCAATTATATTATCATTTTGATATTAATGATCTGGATCAAGCATGGAATATTGTCAGCTCTGAGTACTGTAAGGCAATTATCTGATGAACATAATTTAAAATTAAATTCTAGCAAATCAAAAATATTTTATTTTGGTACTAAGAAAAAAGTACAAATATTAAGACTCAACTTTAATATTATAATTCCTATTCCTATTACCGACAGTGTAAAAAATTTGTGACTCTTGACAGTAACTTACGATTCAATCAACATGTAAAAACATTACTCCAATAATCTTATTCTTCGCTTAGATTAATTTATAGTAGTCGTCATATCCTGAATAAAAAACTTAAAATTATGTTATGTGAGTCACTTGTTCTCTCCTATTTTAATTACTGTGATTATGTCTGTTGTCGATGCCTTAGTGTACAAGAAAAAAATAGAATTCAAAAAGGTCACAAAATTGTAGAAAGCAAGTGGCTCAACATGGAGAATCGTCGACGTCACCATCTTGGCAATCTTGTGCATAAAATTTTAACCAATCCTTCTTCATTATGCATTAAAAACTAAATTTGTTAAGCGTTCTAATGTTCATTCGAGGAATATCGATTTAAAAATACCTTTACAATGCGACATCATCGTAGTGTCCTA